TAAACGTGCATTGCCCATGATTGTTCCACATGAGAAAATCGTCGATGTTAGCTGCTAGTGAATAATTAAAAGAAAGTCTAGCATAATCCAATGTCGTCCATTCTCTGTTATATGCAGGTTCGCGCTCCCGCTACGACAATATGGACAAAGACGTCAATGCGATTTTGAGGCTAATGATTAGAGTGCAGATGCTTTCAAGCTGCAGAGCAATGGTTCTTTTCATGGATGAGCTGAATAATTTGTGTGCCTCTGGTGACAAATTTTTGATTTCGGCCTTTTTGGGTTCAAACTTCCTCAATTGTCTACCTGCTGCCATGAGCTTCAACTATAATAAAGTAATTTTGCTTTTTTTCTGAAGTTATTAAAATAGATTTTCTGATTAACCAAGAGGTCTTTGCTTTACTTTTAACAAGATTTTTCTTCTTCCAGGATCCCGTGTTAATACCTCTGATTCTGATGTGTGACGATTCTGCTATCGATAGGCTGAGCGATGAAAAAGCGCTAAGTGAATTCTTTACACCTGATTTGATCATACAGTATTTGCAATGTAGTACGTGGTATTAAATGAGGATGGGGACGATTTCCGTTCTCTTAAACTAAAAGAAGCTACAGAACTGCTCTCACCAGAAAAGAAAATACAAGAAACCGGTTGAAAGGAATTCAGCCAAAGGGTAGAAATTTGGTTAAGCTTTAAAACAAAAAGGGATCGGAGGTGACTTCAAGTAGGGCATATTACATTGAAGAAAGGGAAAAAGAATTTTGAACTGTTAAAAGAGCAAATCCATGCTAGTTTATGCGCCATAATTTCAGGCTGTGAAGTGCCTGTCGGTAACGCAAATTCACAGCACGGTCGATGCCCTCAGCATGTTGAACAATGAGCTTAGCATAGTTGCGCCCTGCATACTGGATCATCTCAGTAACATTACTAGGATCCATACTGACAGTCCAGGCAAATTTGTTATTCATGGCTAAATAGGGTTGAAGGATCCACTTTAATGCATGCGAATGTGATAAGTTCTGGATCGTGAAGAATGTAGGTTTGCCTCAGCTGTACCATTCATAGCCAGAAATGACATAGCAGCGAAAGAACAGCTGATCAAAAAAGTGTTATAAAGGTTGGCAGGAGTTGTTGTCACCTGCAGAAGTGCAGCGTTTGGGGCGTTGCATTTGTCTTTTTGGAAGCTGGTTACGTCTGTGATGTGCAGCATTTTATGTGGTGTATACTTTAAGCACTGTTGAACGAACAGATGATGACCATTAACTTCGGATTTTCGAACCCGTATGATGGAGGTCGACCAAGCTGCTGGCCTCCAGAAATACCGTTTTGTAATCCAGCACCGAACAATGAACAGAGCTTGACAAATCGTCGAATTGGTAAGTGTGTAAATAACTTGCATCGGAAAGGAAGTAGTATTCCTGGAAGGACAAGAGACAAACAAAATGTATGTAAAAAATAGACGTGATTTTTCTGAATAGACATTAAGGAGTTCCAGGGAGAAAGGCATGGTTTAAACAGAATTACAAATGCCATTCAAATAGCACATTCAAAACGTTTGATGTTTTTCGTTTGTGGTTGATTTACAGTCTGAAAAAGAGCTTTTCGTCCCCTTTTTATAAAAATAATCTCATTGAAAACATAACTCCCTTTCCAACGGTAAAAATTTCTCTGCTTCATTGAAGTCTACAATTAACTACTTATTTATTTAAATATAGCATTTCGACATTTACAGTTACAGTGTTTTGATATAGTGCGCACACTGTGTGTGCTTTGCTTCCTTGTCTTTTTCGGGCAGCCCCCTTTCACATCCGTATTTTCGATGGCGCCGTCTGAAATTGATTATCTTCTCTGAAATTGATCGTCTCGAACTGTGCTACACCAGCTTCTTAAATTTTTGGTAACCTCAATCTTGCTTTATATATTTTGACTTATATTTGGCTGTGTTAAGCCTCCCACTGTCTTCCTGTTCTCGTTCCTCCGCCTTACTTGTAGTTGTCCTGACCTTCTCATTTGTTCCATGACTTACCCCTCAAATGTCTGCTACAAATATTGCTACACGATGAACGATTAGTATGTGCACTGACTGAGTGCTTACACGCTGAGATACTTCGATTGTGTCTCAGCACGTTGTGTCCCGGCCTGTTTGTTCACAGTTTCGAAAAACATCAGTTTGAAGCCGACTGCTTTGCACTCCATTCATCGTTTTCATAACAAATTCGTCCTGGCAGTAGGTATCTCCTGCATTGATTCTCGAATAATTTATGAAGAATATAATTAGTGCTAAGGGTAGCATCTTCAGTGAACGGCATCGTTTGTGTCATGGAGTTGGGCGACCTTGATGAGTTTTGAGTTTTAGGCGATCTTTTTCGAACCACTTCCCTAATTACAAGGAACCCAACTCTTGTTTGGTAAAAAATGATAGCGTTTTGTAGTACAACATTCATGCTGTTGCAGGCATCAATACTCCTGGTCAAGCCGCAAAAGTGGTTTTAAGGAATATGGAGTATTATTATTCGGAAGTAGCACGTCTCATCTTGGGACAGGAGGCAAGCCTGAGAAAAATTTGCTTGTAAGCGGTTCATTTTCAGCTGTTCGCTTGTGAATATTATGCTAAAAACTATGCAGAAGCCGTCTTTTTTCCAGGCTCATATTAGCCTTCAAATCTAGTGGAACGAGTTAAGATGAGTGACGTCAGGACCTGAAACTGTCTCACGGATTAGATTAGAGCCATCATGTGTATTGCCAAAACCTTTCACTGATGTGCTATGTACTTTTTCGAAATTCTTTTCAGCGTGCTCAGTATTTGGTTTCAGAATGAGATTATTCGAACGAAATAGCATTACAGTGCTAGTGTACTGCTGTTGGTTGCTAAAAATATTGCAGTTTCTTGCTTTAGATTTTCGTTTTTTTTTTTTC